TTGGAGGTGGGAGTGCTCAAACTTGCCTGCCTAAACAGAAATATTAGAGCAGCTACTTAAATGGTAATTGATAAATGCATAAAATGACTACCATTCAAACTGCAAATCAGTTAGCAAAATTCAATGAAACTTTAAACATTTCATTGCATTAATGATATAAATGCATAAATTTACAGAGAGCAGCATCCAGTCACTTGGCAGCCTTCCACTGTATTTACTTAAAGGTGATAATGCATTTAAAAAGCACTTGAAGCAGAATATGTATTAAACACTACTAAACTTGTAGAGATTTATTAGCCTTTTTAGACTGTCTCTGCCCTGAAGCAAACTCATTTTTATTTCTGAAAATTAAAAAAAAAAAAATAGAGCAATACATCATTTTAAGAAACATCAGCAGGGTCAGTATGGGAGATATCTTAAAATCCAGTATTTCTTCATGACAAGTGCAGGTCTGCAGCCTTTAGCTCATATGGGATTGACTGATAACACTGCCCCATAAATGCTGATAATATCCACAGGATATTCATTTACACATTTGTGAAAGAATGGAAGTTTGGACAATTCTCTAGGGTCTCCAGAGATTAATGATCTGGCACTTCCAGCACCTTAAAGTACTCTGATTTCTCAGGCAGCACTGAAATCCTGTCCTGTCCAGAAAAAAATCAGGCACTGCCAATTCTTTGGAGAACTTCAGCTGATTAACATTATTAATTCTCACAGCAGATGTGAGCAAAGAGAGCAAGAAAATATTTGCAGGTATGTAAAGGTATTTGCAGAAGTATTCTATGACCATCTTAAGGGTAGAGTGGATGCAAAAGGAAATATCCTAAATATTAAATATTAGTATAAACCAGCTGGATACGTGCCTGTACCACTATCTTCACTGAACAGAAATCCACAGATCTTGGAAAGCAAGTGGGAAGCAGGGCTTGGGACTCCTCTTTGAGCTGGAATAAAACAATGTGATGGAGATGGTTGGTCAAACCACCCATGTGGGGACTGTGTGTGTTGTGTGTCATGGCAGCTTGGGATGGAAGCCATCACTTCATTCCAGCAACAGCACAGCCAACGCTGCTTGTGGCTGGAGAATCAAATCAGAGCAAACTCACCCACTGTGAAGAGTTCACCTGCTCCATTCCCACTTGTCAAAGCTCCTAAACTCACCTAGACCTCAAATACAGAGGGCAGAACCTTCACTTCCATGTGGAGGACATGAAGGACATGGATGAAGGGTGGCATTTCATGTCACCCAGCAATAACACAAGGCACAGCATTCATGTCCCAAAAACTGTGTCAGGGCTCTCTCTGAAGTCCACCACTCATCCTGGTTAGTTCTTTTAGTAAGAAACAACATAAATTAGTGAAATCCTGCAGCATGAACCTTCCCACTTCCCCACCAAGGTCAGAGGTGCTGGGGGCATCCTGAAACCAGCACAACTCCTGCCATGGTAAAAGTCCGACTGTCTCATGCATGTTAGAGTCAGGAACATGGAGTGCATGTGTAAACACAGCCTGTCTGATCTGCTCCACAGAGACACATCCTGCCCATGGGTTTTTGGGGCTATACTGACAAGGCAGGCACCCTCCTCCTGGCTGGGGCATGTTCTGAACGGCTGAGCTGCAATGAGCAGATGACAGAGATTTCTCTCTATTTTAATGGTTTTCTGGCCAAAATCCTCTCTAGAATTAAACTCAGCAAGACCTTTAAATACAACTGAGAGCAGAATTTGGCTCAGGGAGTGTTTCCCCATTTCATTCCCTACAGCTTTTCATTACCACCTTCTAAATCTGTAATGAAACCAGGAGTGTTTTTATGGTGCTCTGTATGAGAGCGTTGCTAATAAGTAGCTCCATTAAAAATAGTAAACATAAATCATTTATTCATTTTATGCATTTCTAAGTCCACTTGAGAATATTTTTGGCTGAGCCAAGGCACAAGTAAGGGTGTTAATTATTATCTTACTAGAGCAATCAGTTAATAAGGCAGTTAGGAGAGATGTTTGTTAGGAGGTTCTGGGGTGCCCGGAGGCTACTGAAGTCATTGTCTGGGAGAGAACACGACCGCTGGAGCTCACAGGAGTCTGGTGGCACCAACCCAAAGGCCTTGAGGCCTCTGTCTGCAAATTAGCTGAGAGGAGAGAGCAGACACCAGGTCTGAGCAGGGAGCTGTAAACAAGAGGTGGGAACTCCCAGCGCAGGCTCTCACAGAGCAGAGCAGTGGCTGGGGCCCCTGCGAGGAGGCTGGAAGGGCTCAGTCAATGGGGTGGGGATGGAGAGGGAATTGGGTTCAGTTTCCTTCTCCCCACAAACAGCAGCAGCCTTTTCTGGGCTCTGCTGTCTCCTCAGGCCAAGGAACAGGGCTCTCCATCACTTACAAAGCTGAGCACTTTGAAGCAGTCCCACTGTGTTTCCAGAGAGGTTGATCCCACTAAACCCACTCTGGTAAGTGGTGCTTCAGTCCAGAGGCCAAGAACAAAGTGAGATTTCAGATTAAATGCTAAAGGTTCAAGGAGAGCAGTACACTGGGGCATCCTGCTCTTCTTCTGTCTGATTTCTGTTGCTGCTCAGTGACTTCTGTTCTGCACTCACCACTGCAGCAGCAGGTGCCAGGAGCCAAACATCTCCATTAGTGACTTGCAGGAGGGAGGTTATCCCAGTTCCCCGAAACCGAAGGAAAACCACAGCTGTCTGCCCTGAGCCTAGGGTGTGTCAAGGAACCTGTCCACAAGGGAAGTGTTTCTGGTTATGAATTACATGCTACAACATCCCCATGACTCTGTTAGGGATGCATTCCGAGGTGCTCCAGGGGAAGCCTGTTCTAGGAGCTAAATTCTCCCTGTGGGATAGAAGAAATATTAGAGGATTTTCCAGAGAAGGGAGGGGAAGAAGCCACTTTCTGATGTACTTCAAAGCCAAATAATCTGGCTCCTTCTGTCTGACATCCACAGGGGATGATCTTATGCAACTTCAAAACACTTACACTGATTTGCAGCACAGAAATAATTTTAAAATGCTGCTCCTTTTACTTGTCCTCCCTAATCCAGTTAGCCCTCAAAATATGGCTGTAGGAGAGAGATCCCATTTCACTTCCATGTGGGAAACCCTCTTTACTTGAGACAAAACAAGTCCAGGAACATATCCCAGATCTATCCTACAGTTTGGGGTAGTACCTAAAGAAAGGCCTGTTCCTTGTCAGTGAGGGAAATACTGTCATTCCTGTTTTGCAGATTGGAAATTGAGAAAGAACGGGTTGAATAGCTAATCCAAGGACACAGGAAAATCCATAATCAGGATGAAAGTGACCCAACATCTCCAAACTTCATCCACTGGGATTGTTGTTGGGCAGATTCTTTTTTCTCTCAGGAGATTCAGTAAAACTTCCAATAAATCTAGAGTGAACAGCCCAGAGCTGACACTGTCCCATCCAATGGGAGAACACAGATGGAAAATAAATATTAGGTACATTTAATTCATTCTTTAATAACCTATCAGGGTTTTTGTTGGAATGGCTGGCTCAGGAGTACAGCCTTGGCCAACCATTACCCTAACAGAGCTCCAGCATCTCTCTGCCAGAGAAACCCCTCCCTCCCACAGACAGGGAGATATTTCAGAACTATTATTCTGTAGAGTTCAATTGACACTCCAGAAGGCAACTTTGCTTTTAAAGAGATTAAGTTGATTCCTTCCCATAAATTCAGTAGCTACCCCAACTATGCCTCATTGAGAAAACTTATTCTGACAAGAGTCATGAATTATAACCAGGATAAAATGTTTCATTAAAATACAGATAAGGCAACTTAGGAAGCAAGAGGTTTGTATGGGTAAAACCAATTTTGCTGCAAAAGCAAATCCACAGCCATTTTTCAGGTCACTAAGTTGAAGTCTGGGTGTTATAAATCCATCATCAATGTTTTCTTACAGCTATAGTAGCTGACACATCTGAATCCCTGGGAGCTAAAAGCATGCCAGGAGAAATGAGCACCATCAAAACACATCAGGAGGAGACGTACAGCGAGGGCTATAATGTACCTGACTGCTGACGGGACAATATTGGCTTCCCTTCCCCGAGAGTTCATCATCAACCACTGCCTGTCCATGGAGCAACTGATTTAAGGGTATCAATTAAAAATTAGCCCCACTATCACTAGAGAGATGGATTTAAGCATAATTAATGTAAAAAGCTTAATAGCACTCTTTTTGAGGTTCAGTTGAGTATCACTGATGATGCATTCCCACTTCCAGGGCAGTGTAAATGATTCCCTCCTGCACTGATCCATTGAAGTAGCTGTAAAATCTTAATTATATCCATGTCAGATGGTTGAGTTCAGAATAGAACTGCCCAGAAAATTATGCCTCCCTCCCCCACAAAACATTACCATTTCATTTAAAAAATATGTTAATAATTAAGCAAACAATTGTGGATAAAATAATATCCAAGGTTTTGGTTTTTCTGGTGAAAAATGCATGTGAAAAAAAGAACTGCTTCCTCACAGTGTTCAAAGGTCATGTTTATGTCTAGATTCAAGTAAACAACAAATTTGTCAGTAACATTTTGATCAAGAACATTATTTGCCCTAGGTGATAATCCAAGTTAATTTACAAGCAGAACAGGGTCATAATTTCATTCTGTGAAGGAAGAAAGTCCTAGGGATTATTGCTGTGCCATCATTAAGTGTCAGGCACTTCTGCAAAAATCCATGTCAGGGACAAGTGTTTCAAATGGATCTTGTCAGCTGAAATACCCTAAAATGGAGGAAGCAAGGTTTTGAAATTGTGCACAGTGCTGGGTAATTTTGTTTTGGGATTTTCTTTCTGCTCTGTCCCAACACACTGCCATCCCCAGTGTGTGACTCTGGACAGGGGAGGGGACAGCTGTGGGGCACAGCAATGATCCATCAGGATGACTCCCTGCACAAGCCAGAGAAGTTCCCAGGAACAAGCACAGCAAAGATGGGGGTGAGGAGAATCACTCTGGAACTGGTATTTCAGGTATCCCTTACCTCTGTCCCAAAGAAGCCCTTCTTTTTTTCCAGAATTTTGTGATGCTGGCATGTAAATAATGAAGTGATAAGAAGTTGCCTCAGTGACATCTGTAAAAAAGACTCAAATTCAGTATATATATATGTATATATATTTAACCTAATCTGGACAGTACTATAGGAACTTGGTGCTTCAAAATCTAAATTTTGCAATATGCTTTTGGAAACCTTTATATTTTAGAAGCCTGTGTATAATATATTCTGAGGACATTCCGCCACTCTAAATGCACTCATATTTTAGGTATGCAATACTACCACAGTTTCAAAAATAAACATCTGAAGAAAATGCTATGATTTTAAAAATAAGACATTTGTAGCTTAATGTTGTTCGAAGAAATCTGGAATGGTATTAATCATTTCAGTTACTCACTGATTTCAATACAAATGTACTGAGATGAATATGTATCTACTGGTCATGTTAACCTATTTCACCAAAAAATAGTATTTCATGTAATACAATGAAATGCTACAAATATGAATCATTGCCTTCTAAATCTAACCTAAGACTTTTAAAAATTGATATGGGTGATTTTTAGAAGTAACTTTTCCATATTTTTGCAATAATTTTGCCTCAATTTTTAATGCTTGATTTATCTACACATTTAGAAATCTCTTTCTACTGCCATTCAAAATAATACTGAAAACTCAGTGCTTGGTTACTCAGTTCTTCATGACCTGGGAGTTCAAAGGCCTGGGCAGTGTCAGGGACTCTCACAGCAGGAAGTAGGAGGGTGAATTTGCAGGGCTTTTGCTCAGTACCCTGGACCTAAACTCCTGTCAGAGCCAGAGGATGAAGTGTGGGGCTGGGTTCCTCATTCCCACCTAGATCAGGAGCACCAGGAGGGAAGCAAGGACATCTCCAGGCTCTCAATATCCCCCTTGGTTGCTGCATCAGTCTGAAGAGCTGTGTTTTTAAGAGGAATAGGAAGCACCAATCTGCTTTGTAGCCACAGCTCCTAATTCTTGCGTTCCACCCAATGCCATTATTTGGAGATTGGCTTGTGCAATTCTCTATTTATTACTGCTTTGGTTTTCCTTTTGTTGCAAGAATGGGGCTGACAGCTAAACACGTGTACCTACATTATGAAATCCTGCCTAACGAGGAAGAGCTAATTAAGCTGTTACAGCATTGGCCCATGCCCTGAACACTGCCAGCAACGCCCCACAACTGCACTGCCCTGGGAGGGACAGGGATGTGACACAGCACTCGGGGACTTGGCGATGGGAACATGCCAAGAGAGACAAGTGCCTTTCCAGCCAGAACATTGCAAGAGTCTTCCTGCCATGGCCAGAGCCACCATCACCTCCTCTCTTCCCCAAATCAGTGTGCACACAATAGGGAGCACAGAAGCTTTTTTAAGTTTCTCACACAGCTTTTTTAACAAAGTGACCCTGAGGGCACAGCGTCAGAACTTCTGCGTGAAACTGCTTAAATCCAGCTGGCCACAGCTAAACCTTTCCTTGGAATTCTTGGCCTCAAAGTTTATGGTTTGGTAGCCCAAGTCAGTCTCCTCCATACCCTGGCTGGGATGACCACAGTCAGCAGCACTGAGCGGTGCCTTTTGTGCATTGCCAGCACTTCCCAGGAAGGTGTCTCAGCTCAGAACCCTCCATGTTATTCCAAGAGGATTACATTATTCCCAATGTAGTAGGAATAAAAAACATTCTGTATTGTAAAACGAACACAGGGTAGCCTTTTTGCACAACAAAAGCCTCCAGCCACAACACCAGCAAGAATTAAAACCACACTTCCAAGATGTCCAGCTACAGTATATATTTTATCATTATTCTGCAGACATATGTTTTGTGTGACTTGGTTCATTTATTTCCTTTTTGTTTTCAAAAGCTAACACATGGCCCTGAACAAAAATTACACTTAATTTTTTATTTGTTCAACTCAGTTAAAATCACAGCACTTGTTTTGTAGTTTTACATAACAATGTGCTGCTTTGTATGACTTTTATGTAATTTAATTTCAGTAAACTAGCCTGAAATAATTTAGACAGTCTACAGAGAGTTTGTGTATTTGGTGTTAAGGACTTGCATTTTACACATTTATTCATGTCAGACTTAAAATTTGATTTGAGTGTGGGAGTTAGCAGCTTCCCTGTCCCTACATAGAGAGAAAATCCACAACAGGTGACAGGATAAATTCTTCCATCCTATCCAGGACTACCAGGGAGGGCTCTGGTGCTCATCTATTCAAATGGAGGACCATTGAAGAAAAAAAAAAATATAGATGGTTCAGAAAAAAACATTTTACAAGTTTAAAAGGCTGGGAAGTGTCTTGTGGAGGCTGGGATTGCCTGACAAAGATGTTTTTCTGATGGACAGACTGGGTGAAGGAGATAGTTGACAAATGAGTCGATGACAGTCCCTCACTGAGCTGTCTGAACAAAGAACAAATAGGCAGCAGGAATAAGACAGACCCTATAAATCAGGGGAGAAGGCATGAGCTGGAGGAAACCTGGACATCTCAAAGCTGCTGACCAAGACACACAATACACTGTGCAGCAGTCAGGAAACTGATGCAGGTTTCCTCAGTTATTGTTTTGTCCAGGTCTGTTGTTAATAGTTTTGGACAGACCCAAAGGATCCCTTTGGAAAAGCTGCCCTCCTGCTGGACAAGGCTGGACTTGTGGGAATGTGGCTGAACAGGGGGAAATGAAGGGATTAACACATTCTGAGGGTGAGATCCTGGTTTTGTGGAAGGGGAGCAGTGTGGCTGGTGTTCCTAAAAGCCAGGGAAAATATTAGTGTGAGCACATAGTGAGGGAGTCTGAGAGGGAGATGACCCTGAGCAGCAGGGACAAACACCTTGGTCAAGTTGGGGTTGCACTGAGGGAGCTTTTCCTGGCTCTTCTGTAGCAGGGGATCACAAATGAGACAGAAGTGAGTCACAAAGAGTGAAAACATTCAGCACAGGCACCCAAGGTGTCAGCAGGAGAGCCCCACTGGGGGTCTGACTGCAGCAGGACGTGCCCACACGGCATTAAGCAGTCGGTGCCAGATCACTTTTGAAAGCAGCAGCTGATTCTTTCCGAAATTGCTTCCCCAGAACTGACTGTTTCTTGCGAGGAAGCCCCTGGAAATCAAACGAGCCGTCAGACTTGTACCGTTCGAGTCTGCATTTCTTGTCCTTCGTCTGCTTTCCTTCCTCTTTTGTGCCTCTTCTGCTTTCGTAGGGACGGCGTGTGGAGCAGCGGGGCTCTGACATCAGAGCTGGAGGCGGCTGCGACACAGAGAAGGCTGAGGAGCAGAGGAGGAGGAGGAAGGAGAGCAGGAGAGGAGGAGGAAGGAGGGCAGCAGAGGAGGAGGAAGGAGGGCAGGAGAGGAGGAGGAAGGGCAGCAGAGGAGGAGGAAGGAGGGCAGTAGGGGAGAGGAAGGAGGGCAGCAGAGGAGGAGGAGGAAGGAGAGCAGCAGAGGAGGAGGAAGGAGGGCAGCAGAGGAGGGAGGGCAGCAGAGGAGGAGGAAGGAGGGCAGTAGGGGAGGAAGGAGGGCAGCAGAGGAGGAAGGAGGGCAGTAGGGGAGGAAGGAGGGCAGCAGAGGAGGAGGAAGGAGGGCAGTAGGGGAGGAAGGAGGGCAGCAGAGGAAGGAGGAAGGAGGGCAGTAGGGGAGGAAGGAGGGCAGCAGAGGAAGGAGGGCAGCAGCAGACATGAGCAGCTGTCCCGGCCCCAGCCCGGATCGCAGCTGGGACCGCACCCTGCTCTCCTCATCCCGACACAGCTCCCACCAAGGACTGGGCTCCTTCTCCCTTCCAAAGGCTCCAAAACGCTCCACACGCATGTTTTAAATTACAGATAATTCATTTTGATACGCCTTTTCCTTGGATCCGTAGACAAAATCAAAAGCAGGTTTCCCTGGGAGATACACATCAAGCTCTGCCTGCAGCTCTGGAGTGTTGCAACACAGCTCGCAGCAACCGAGGGGAAATCAGTTCTCCTTTCTATGGCAAGGGGTTGAAAAACAAAATAATTTCATTGTACCTTAGGAAAACCAGCTTTAGCAGATTGGTGAAGGCGTCTTCCATTGCATTTTTGAGGCCTGACCACCATCAGGATCACAACTCAAATACAATCAAGATTAAGGCCATTGTCTAGAGATCATTATTACACTTAGATTCCTGTTAAGGTTTCATGGTACGAAGAGGAGGGGGTTGGGAGGAAAGTAATGAAGTTACAGGCCTTTATTGTACAAAGGCAACTGGAGACTTTTTTTAGGATGCTATCTATCAGCCTGTCTGGCAAATGTCTGCCTAGTAATAATGTATCCGTCTGCTGAAACAAGCCTAAATAATGCATCATTATATCAATAATTAATAGGCACATGGGTCAACAAGTTCAAGATTGTTACAGGCAAAGGAGATGTGAAGGAAATGGCTCATTCCAGGCCCTGCCAGGCCCGACATGGCAAGCCCAGCTTTGCAGGGAAGCGATGCAGGAGTGTTGGTGGCCAAATGCCAGGGCAGCACGTGCAGAAGACGTGGCTCGTGTCTGCTCAGTCCCCACTCACTCACCCAAAACAGGAACCCACCAGCATGGAACTTCCCACAGAACACAGGAAGAGAGACAGGGAGAGTATCCCATACTCTTGATTTGGGAACCCAACTTCTCTACTAACCACATTCAACAGATGAAATGTGAGCCAAATAGATATTGCTGATTTTAGTACCAGCTGATGATGGCAACAGCTGATGTCATCTACTGACCAAAAAATCTGAAGTAACCTGAGGTATTTTAAAATGGAAAGAGACAATAATCAAAGTTACCATATGAAAATGAAATAAAAATCAGAGGGGATGTCAAAATAGAAATACAGAGGCTATATTAATAATAATATCTTTTTCCTTGAAAGTAGTGCTGAAAATCAGGGTATTTTGGGAATTGTAATTCCTCACTGTCAAACCAGGAGGGTGGGCTTCCATCCCATACAGAAGCCTCCTGACATTATTTGGGATCCAGGGACAGAAATTCAAAATTGAGGTTGCTATTTGTAAAACAAACAAAGAAAGGAGGCAAACCATGATTGTGAAAACTTCATCCCCTACAGGT